TTGTTGTTGTTGTTGTAGCGGCTACAACAACCCCGCCCAGATCGGTTGGTATCTCAGTCGTTGTCGTCAAGTTCCACTAACGGCAACCCTAGGAAGCGTGCAGCTTCTGTGGGATCTGTCCACAGGGACAAGGCCGTTAGGGTTGTCGGGTTTTCCGGGCATGCGAAGAGATGGTTCGAGTCATGTGGGGTCTCTCCGCATGCCGGACATTCGTTCGGCACATCCTCATTCAACCTACTCAAGTAGGAGTTTAACCTGCTGCAGTAGCCGGAGCGAAGTTGAGCGGTGGTAGTACGTGTCTCCCGAGGCAGATGAAGCTCTGTCTCGTCTATGTCCGGGGGTGGTGTGCCTAGAACGGCATTCACAGGTCTAGAGTCTACATAACTCGAGACTGAGTCCCTGTGAATGCCGTTCAGGGCCTGTCTGTACGCTGTCGGGTCCAGAGGTTGCTTAATGAATCTCTGGACTTCGTCCGTCAGTTCATATAGATGCCTCCTGACGTGCCTAGGCGAGGGCTCCTCTGCAAGCAGCTGTCTGCTTGGGTGGCCACTTCTGTAGCTCCCGATCCGGAACTGCTTGCAGAGCATTATATTATGCTCCTTAACTGGGAGCATTTGCGCCTCGCCGTGCAAGTGGTGTTCAGGCGACATCAGGAGGCATCCCGTCGCTGTCCTAAGTGCCGTATTTTGTACCGTCTGTAGCTTCGTCCACTGCGTCCTACTAGTCCCTGGCGACCACACTGGCGCTGCGTAGTTCAAAACCGGCCGGCCTATTGCCTTGTATGTTGCCAGCAACGTTTCTTTGTCTTTGCCCCAAGTACTGCCGGTTAGCGACTTGAGGACCTTGTTGCGACTCTGTACTTTATTGACAATAGCGGTTGAGTGCGCAGAGAAGGAGAGCAGGCTGTCGAATGTTACTCCGAGTAAGGAGTAAGTGGTTAAGGCCACGAGTTATCTGAGTGTTTATGGCGTTAAGTGCTGTTGTTGTACTGTGCACTTTACGGAAACCATGCTGATGCTTCGCTGGGGTCAGGTGGTTTGTGAAGTACGGGAGTAGAAAGGCCTCGAGTGTCTTCGCTACCGGGGAAAGGAGTGTAATCGGACGATACGAATCTCCTTTGTTGGCGGGTTTCCCCGGTTTGAGCAGTGGGACCACTCTCCCCACCTTCCAGATGTCTGGGATGATGAGAGTGGCCATTGACAGGTTGAGGACCTCCGTTAGGTACGCTACCCCCGCAGGACCCAAATTTTTCAGCATCAGCATGCATATTCCGTCGGGACCCATGGCTTTGGAGGCTTTCGCCTTCCCGATGGCCACCTGAACTTCACCGCAAGTGAAAGCAAGGGGGGCACAAGTTGTTGGCAGTTTGTGCAGCCTTCTGGTCACTCGACGCTTGGCTTTGTCTACCGGAGGATGCAGTATGAACTGCCGGCTAAAATAGCTCGCGCATCGCTCCGGGTCCGACGAAGCATGGTCGCCGAAGGAAATTTCGACTCTGTCGTCGTGCTTCGTCGGATTAGACAATGACCTCACGGTTGACCAAAGCTTGCTCACACCATCTGAAATTACAACTCTTCAGATGCTCCTCCCACTTCTTCCGCTTATGTACGTTCACAAGTTGCCGAATCTCCGCGTTGAGATCCCTGATACGGGGATCTCCGGGATCGGCCTGACGAAGGCTATCACGCTCATCGGCTAGAACAGCCGCTTCGGCAGGGAAGTTTGGACGTGGGTCCGATATACATCCTGCCGGTATGAAGCGAGCTGCAGCAGCAGTGATAGCCCTGCGGAACTTACGTTCACCGAGATAGACGTCGGTTGGTGTGGGGAGCGCTGCGAAGGTGTTTTCGGTAGACTCCGCGTAACCTTTCCAATCAGCTTTAGAAAAGTTGATATAGGTCCGGTGTTTGGCGGAGGCAAAGTCGGTTGGTTTATCAATCGAGATGACTACGGGTAGATGGTCTGATGCTAGTCAGCATAGGTCGCCACGTTATGCTGTTTATCAGACCAGCGCTGACTATTGTGATGTCTGGCGAACTACTGCAGTTACCCATAATCCTGGTGGGTGCGTCGTCGTTCATTGTGCAGAATGTCGAATCGTCTATCTGCTCAGCCAAGTCTGTTCCCCTACGATCGTTTGACAGGCTTGAGTGCCAAAGATCGTGGTGCGCATTAAAGTCACCTACTACCATACGGTTTTCACCTCTGAGGAGCGCACCTATGTCAGGGTGATATCCTGCCGGGCAGCAGGTGACAAGGGGTATGTATATGTTAAATATTTCGAGCCCGACATCGCCTGACCGGATAGCGATGCCCTGACATTCTAGGGTGGTATCCCTGCGGTCGATGTCTGCTTCGATAAGACAATACTGCACGGTGTGGTGCGTGATGAACGCTAAGCCACCACCATTATCTCGCTCGCGATCTCTACGGTGCACGTTGTACCCGGCGAAATTCAACAAAGTTGAATTGCTGTGCAACTTCGTCCCTTGGACCGCAGCTTTTAATATACCATGCCGACACATGAAGACGGTTATCTCCTCAATCTTGCTCTGTAGCCCGTTACAGTTGAATTGAAGGAGCTTCATGTGGTTCGGGAGACGTGTCGTGATGTGGGGTGTATGTGAAGTGTATGTTCTTGCCGCCGTTGGCTGGGAGTCCTGCTGAGGTGATTGCCGCCCTGTGGTGGAGGTGGGGGGCGTCGCAATTGAAGCCTGCGACCAAGCAGCGCAACACGGGCCATCGAAGTTCCCCGTCCAATCTCGCGTGGTACGCAGACCTGAGCATGCCCTAAAGTGGCACCAGCCAAGGCAGGTGTTGCACTTGACTGATGTCACATTACGGAATATCCTGGTCTGACATACCGTGCAGATTGTAGGGGGAACCAGGAGTTGTTGGCGGCGGCGTGTGGGTGGTGGTGCGGTTGGGTGTGTTATGTGGTCTGTGGTGGCTGTGGTACGGTCTGTGGTGTTATTATGTTGTTGTGTTGTGGTGACTGTGTGTGGCTGCTGTGCGAGTATGTGGGGCTGCTCGGGCGGACTATGGTTAGCCGTGGAGGCTGCTCTGTTTGAGCAACAGGGGGCCACGTACGACGTGGTCCACTGTCTGTGTGTCCGTAGTTCCGAGCAGACCTTGAGGTGACTCCACCCCTCGCAGGCATTACACTTGACTGAGGTGGAGTTGTGGTGTAATCGTCTTCGGCATACACAGCAGGTGTATATTTCTGGCCCAGGGTTTGACTCGATGCCAGCCCTGAGTAGGAGAATGGACGGACAACTTCTAAGATACTTCGCCGACCTAAACGGGGTTAGATCGCCGAAACAACAGCCCTTGGTCGGGTGAAACCCGAGTCATTCCGGTACGTAGAACCGGCTGTCGTGGGTCTTTAGGGGCGCCACGCCCGCTCCCCCTCCGCCACCCACCCTCAATCGCTGTACAAATAGCTAAAGACATGATACAAAAGAGAAGGTAGTTTCAATAAACAACTTTTGACGGATAATAACATTTTTTGAAGTTTCATAAATTGTCAGTATTATCAACGGCCTTGCCACTTTGATAATATTAAAACAATACATCGGAGTATTTTCTTTGCCATATTTTTACCAATGTGAGAATATTTCAAATCAAAACTCACAATCAGTACTTGATATATTTTTACTTACGTGGTTTGCCCCTCTTTTATTAAAAATATATAAAATGTAAACTGTTACATTGTAATTATTCTTTTTATTTTATAATAAAATCCATTAGTGCATTATGTTGTTATTTTTTTCATTTTCTTATTTTGATATACAATTTTCGTTTCATTAATCTTGCGATTTATAATAAAATCTTTTTATAATATTTTAGTCCAAATTTACTTTTAAATTTCTCATCAGATTTTGCAAAAATTTTGGCTTTGTGGTTAGCGAATCACCATTAATTTCAACAAATTTTGAATTCAAAATTTCCAATGTATGCAAAAAACTTGAATTAGGCTTGTACAGACCGCCCTCCGACAAACAGTTAACATACGTATAATTTTGATCACTTTCTACCTGCGTCCTGAAGCCTAGTTTTGTCAACCCCATTTTCGAAATTATGTAGCCGGCAAAATTTTCAAGTCCATCATATTCCACATCTTTGAGTGGACTGATGAAATCTTCTGCTTCATGCTCTTCTGCGAGCTACTTAAAAAAATTAGAAATCAAATAAAAACGAAAGGGTAAGGAGTTTACCTCGAGTTCTTCTTCTGCGGATATTTCAATATCGTTAAGTGGTTTGAAAACATTTTCACTGAGCAACTCCTCTTCAAATTTTAACATTACTTCACTTGAAGACTCAACATTTGTTTCCGTGCTCAAAACAGTTTCGTTTCGCCCTAATAAAGTTCATGCATACAATTTAGAATCTTTATGACAACAACAATAATTTCTTTAAGTGGTTAAATAATTACCTAGAAGGTATGATCGAAATCTGTACTTGAATTCGAGAGGTGACGGATGGTCATGCAGCCCTCCTTTCATATATGTTCAAAACCTTCACTAAACTTCACTCATTTTCATACATTTTTGTTTACTTTTACAAAAAAAAAAATATTATCTCTGGTGATCAGGTAGCATGAATTTTATGAAATGTCATAATTTTATTAAAAGTCAAATGGTTAGCAACAACGAATGTCATTAAATGGAACTACCTTCTTTTTTGTATCATGGCTAAAGATTTCCCAAAAAAATTCTATATCTGGGTACCAATTTATTAAAAATTTCGTTTTGAAGTATGGTATTTTTTGCAAATTTCCGAGCTGAGCTGTCAAACACAAAAAATATCCACGAAATATCTCTGCAAAAGGTGTTCAGCCCTTATTATTGGGCAATAAAGTGCGGTTCATCCTCTTTCGTTAAGAGGGTTTAGGGCCCCCTCCCCCTTCTTTTCGCCCCCACAACAAGAACGTTGTACAAATAACTAAACATGTCCACAAAAATTTTTTTCAATGACAACATTTTATGTATTATTCTTACCTTATGTGATGGTGTACCGTCTATAGAAACTATAAAGCCTACTCCACATGCTTCATGTTCATTCTGCGGATCATACAAGCCTTGCGCTTTAGGAGTTTGCCATAAGTCTTCTCCAATATTTGACTTTCCTTCAAGTAACTCAATATATGCTTCGGTTCTACTTCCTAAATTATCTTCGTCTCCCTTGGAAGGACTTATGTCGGTGATAACTGAATCATAATCATTGGAGAAACTCATTGTCATGGCGTCTATAATCACTATGTATCCTTTTTTTACTTTATAAATCGTTTAAAACCCTATATACGTAGAAAAAGAAATTGGTAAATAAATAGTATAAACACGAGTGTGAGTAAATCGGTAAAAGAGTAAAACTTGTGAAGTTAGTGGCCAAAAGCTAAGTCTGTGTGAACAGCATCACCCCAATTCATAAACAAATAAAATAGATTTAAACAGCTCCGTATGCGTAAGGCAATATAATAAGAAAAACGTAAATATATCTCATAATAAGAAATGTGTTATTTCTCAAAATTTCCTATAGCTTTTACCGATTCACCCATAGGATAGAGGACAAATGGAGCAGAGTACCACCCAATAACTTCAGTAAAATTGTTTGATAACATTCAAACAAGCAAAAAAACATTTTAACAATAATACGATATAACACTAGTTCATGAATTTTTACTCAGATACATACTTTCCACGACTAGAACTTCAGATTTTCCAAAAACGAATGGTCAAACTAACACCAACAATTGACACATTGATGGGCTTCAAATGTTCCCATCACTATTAAATCGTCTGAATAATCCGAATACATCAAAAGTCGATATAAATAAACCACTTTTAAGTACAGTTCTTTATAAGTGCACAAGCTGCTTAAGTACACACATTTCTTTAGTAACTGCCTGTTTGAGTGGAAAATGAGGAATGAAGGCGTGTAGAGGAGCTTCTTCTGATTCTAATAGTGAAAACCTTAGAGCGCGTAGGCTTCTATTTAAAAAGTTATTAGCTTTTAAAATTGCGGGGAAAATTTTCCAATAATGGACCAGGCTTTGAAAAAAAATGAGGGAGTTTAGAGCGGCTTTTTGGGATTTTAACTCTGAAAATCCACCTCCGGAGGCTTATAGTTTTTAAGTAATTCGTTGTTAAAGTTGTAAAAAAAGTGAAATTTAACTTCACATTTGGGAAAATTTTTGTAGACGGACGGCAAATTCTAGAAAAAGGGGGATGAGGGGGGTTGAAATAGGACCCCCTGATTTCAAAAATATCCCCTTTTTTTCTAGCAACCCTATAGTTCTTATATAATTTATTGTTAAAGTTTTCATATAAACGATGAATAAGATAGCTAAATAACATACACCTTGGTGCTACCAGACTGAAATTTTGAATAATAAAAGCAGATTTTTAATTCCGAATTTTCACCTATTAGAATTCTTATCTCGGTTTTGCGAAGAAAAGGAGCTGAACACCGTTTGTAGGGAACACCTTTCTGCGAAGGCGGCCTTCGGCCGCACTTAGAGATTATAACCCTCAGGCAGTAGAATTCTCCTTTCTGTTTTGCGAAGAAAAGGGGCTGAACACCGTTTGCAGAGAACACCTTTCTGCGTAGGCGGCCTTCGGCCGCACTTAGGGATTATAACCCTCAGGCAGTAGAATTCTCCTTTCTATTTTGCGAAGAAAAGGAGCTGAACACCTTTTGCAGAGAAAACCTTTCAACGTAGGCGGCCTTCGGCCGCACTTAGGGATTATAACCCTCAGGCAGTAGAATTCTTCTTTCTGTTTTGCGAAGAAAAGGAGCTGAACACCTTTTGCAGAGAACACCTTTCAACGTAGGCGGTCTTCGGCCGCACTTAGGGATTATAACCATCAGGCAGTAGAATTCTTTCTGTTTTGCGAAGAAAAGGAGCTGAACACCATTTGCAGAGAACACCTCTCTGCGTAGGGTGAACACCTTTTGCAGAGAACACCTTTCTACGTAGGCGGCCTTCGGCCGCACTTAGGACTTATAACCCTCAGGCAGTAGAATTCTCCTATCTGTTTTGCGAAGAAAAGGAGCTGAACACCGTTTGCAGAGAAAACCTTTCTGCGTAGGCGGCCTTCGGCCGAACTTAAAGCAAACAAATCGGGCGGGACCAACACCGCCTACGTCATGAGCAATATTTTTGCGCAGGGGTTTGTGACCGTACACCCTCATTGATAATAATACACGCCCAGAATAAAAGTAGCGGTAAATTTTCATTTTCTTTTGTATTTATTTCCCCTGTATTCCTTTTCAAACATTGCTTTCTTTGTATGTATTGTTTTGTACAATATTGCAACACATATCATGTGTCAGTTTGCAACCATGTGTTATTGTAAATATGTGTGCAATTCAATGTAATTTACGAGTCGATAAAAGTTGAATTAAAGTGATTTATAAACAAGATAAAATAAAATAAAAGTGTGTAAAGTATTAAGTACAATGTTATGTGCATTTATGTATATGAAAGTATGTTACAAATGCACTTTTTGTTAAGGAAACCAAGTGGAACGACTTAAGAAGTTTTAACAACAAATAACTTTTAAACAATGACATTGTTTATATTTTTTAGTTATACATGTTTTAGAGGATACCTCCCTTAACAACTTGACCAAGTTTCATTTGTTAAGTTCCATTCACATACAACTTTCCTCGCTTTGCTTGACAGTTCAAATTTTGACAACAAAGTGTGAAACGCAGAAGGTAAGCTACAATAAACGCTTTGGCAGCTTTTGCGTTCTCCTTATCCTCCATATATTTTATCTGTAAAATAGATAACAATATAAGAATATGCATTAATAATAGCAATGAAAATTCCTATTTACTCTATTTTTGTCATTAAATGCAAATGCAAGCGCACGAGAAAAGATACATGTAGACAGCTGATTGCCAAAGCGAGCAAAAGTTGAGAGTTGCCCAAGATTTTGCATCGTTTTGCTTTGATTTGCTTCAAGCGTTTTTTATGTGAGCATACTCATGCATATGCCTACATCGATCTTCTATGTCAAAGCAAAGAACTATCAAGCAAAGCGAAGAAAGTTGTATGTGAATCAGCCATTAATTCCACCTGGTTTTCTTAAAACACAAGGTGCGGCTGACTGCTAAAGCCCACCCTCACATTTTCCTTTGTACATCGAGTGAACTGAAATTGCGGTGCTGCCACACAACACAAAAAATGTGTAAAAAAAGTGCTGAAAAGGAAATCAATGAAAACGTAAATAATAAAGTGGACATGTACATATATGTTATAGCTTTTTTATTGGATATTTTCACTATATATGGAAGAATTGATAAAAAAAGGGTCGCACGTGAAAATTTTGAAGATATATGGAAGTACTGAATTTTGTAGAAAAAAAAGCCGTAATTACTATTTGCATCGCGCGATTTTTTATTAGAAATTTTCAAGATATATGGAAGTATTGGATTTTTTAGAAAAAAGCGCCGTAATTACTATTTGCATCACAAAGTATTTTTGGCTAAAAAGAACTATTAACTCAATCCGACTCAGCTAACACCCCTCTCCCTCTGGTCCGAACCCATTGAAACAGCTCGTTTCCTGGGCCTCCCGTTAGTTGAACGTAGACCCGAAAAAAGCTGGGCTTAGTAGTGACGCTACAACAACAACATTCACATGTTCAACGATGTGGCACCTCATTCATGGCGGCCATCGCTGAACAATTGTGTGTTTACGATTCTTTGAGAACAGAAAAATATTTAAAGAACACCTTTATAAGCATTACAACACCCCCTGCGAATTTCATAAAAAAATTCGTAATACTTTGAATGATATAGAAAATGGTCCATTATAGGAAATCTCAGCCAAACTGCGCAATTCACTATAAAAATTTCATTACATGGAAGTGCTGGAAATGAACACAGATTATGGTGCTGCCAGATGATGAAAATAGTAAAAAAAATGTCGCGGAATTTTTATTAAAAATCTTCACTAAGGGCCGGTTACTCAATGTCTGGTTATCACTAATCTCCGGTTAAACATAGTTATCGACGTTACCGACTCCCTGTTGTATGAATGGAGTCGAATACGTCGATAACAATGTGTTACCGGAGACTAGTGTTAACAAGACATTGAGTAACCGGCCCTAATTGTATCAAGCTCATTATGAAACAGAAGTAGATTGTGTAATATCCCTTCATTTTAGTGTACCTGTTTAATTTTTGAACATCTGGTAGTATCTCTGTATTCACCATTACCCTGGTGAAACGAATACAGTAGGTATCGCTGGTTGTGATACCGCTAGCTCTCTCTTGAAAATTTTGACAGAAATATGACTTCATAGGAGATTTTGTGTGTTGCCTGTGTGATATACATATACATACATACACACTTGCAAAACATATACATACTGATAGATCTCTCTCAAACTATGTTCCCATTGGCGTAATTTAGAGGTCAATCTTAATTTACGCATAAATTAAGTACAAACTAAGTAATTTCGCCTTGTAACGTCTCTCAGTAAATTAAGTTGAAAGTACGTAGTTTATCTTAAACCAAGAACCAAATCACGAACAAATCAGTGTAGGCTCTAATTTTATCGATAATAATCGAAAAAAGTAGTGTCCCATTTCTGATATTTCATTGTGTTGCACGTTTTTGTTTTTAATAATCGCGCGTAGTAGTTTGTAAAATATTTCCAGAAGCTTTCTCTTTTGATCACTCATCTAAAATCTAAAAAATTACCACAAACAACTCGGAACATAAAAATATACGCAAATACTCACATTCGCGACCTCTTTTGGTTAAATAAACAATAACACAGGGTTGCTACAAAGCTGTCAAGACAAATAAAGAATCGCGAGTATGAACGCACTTAATTTAGTGAGGTGTTTTAAAGGAAACTAAGTATTTTATGTTGGTAATGTGAACATAGTTTCAGCTCTCTCCACCAGCGTATCTGCGATGACGTAATATTCACGTTAATCTCCCGAATTTCACATCAATCAGCGCAAGCTTGTATACTATCGGTCTTGCACCACTACAGCCATTTTGAACATTGCAAAGATGGTATATTTATCAAAATATAAGGGCCTGTGCTAATCAGTAGAAAAGATCTTTGGTGGAAAAAACTTTTTACTATGGTGAGAATATTTTACATTTCTGCTGTGCCAATTCCATCGTACAGTTTCCTAAGTAAAATCACTATCAGCTGATTGCCAAAGAACGCCTACAGTTGAGATCACCGGTTTTTTGGCATTAGCTCATCTTTTACAATTTCTTTGATTTCTATTACAATTTCTTAAATTTTTATTACGATTTATTCAAAATGCACTAATACACTCAACCAAAAACACCAATACACTAACCAAAAACACTCCTACAGCCTGCCAAACTCACACCTACAGCCTGTCAGAAAAAACGATAAGGGGAAGAGTTAAGGCCCGTCCACATACAACTTTGGCGTTGCGTTGGCGCTGGCGTCGCTTTGACAGCGGCGCGCGTAACGCCCGTGCTTGCTACAATGAACGCTTAGCACAGAATACTTTGGTCACTAAATTAACATACTAGCGGCTGATAAATCAAAATTTTTACATCAATAATTGCATTAAAAACTATATTTCTTGCCCGCATTTGATTAAAAATTAAAATTAAATCACATAATTTTGATTATTTAGAACAGCTGACGAACGACGCGCGCGAAAAGTTGAGAGTTGGCCATCTTTCTGCGTTGTGTTGGCGTTGGCGTTGCCCAACTTTGGTTATATGGAGACTTTCATATAAATGCATGTATTCATAGTCAGCTGTCGAAGCGACG